GTATGGTGATAGGTAGGGGTCCTGTTTCAATTTTCTGCATGTGGTCAGCCAGTTTTCCCAGCACCATTTACTGAATAGGTTCTCCTCTCCCCAGTGATTGTTGTTGGAGGCTTTATCAAAGATGAGTTGGTTGAGAAATTGAGGCTTTGCTTCCAGAATCTCTATCCTGTTCCATTGGTCTATATTCCTGTTCTTGTACCAATACCAGGCTGTTTTGATTATTGTAGCCTTATAGTGAAGTTTGAAGTCTGAAGGTGTGATACCTCTTGCTTTGTTTCTTTCGCTAAGAATTGTTTTGGCTATTTGTGGTCGTCTATGTTTCCATATGAATTTCTGTATTGTCACTTCCAGGTCTGAGAAGAATGATGTTGGTAATTTAATGGGTATTGCCTTAAATCTGTAAATTGCCTTTGGTAGGATGGACATTTTAACAATGTTGATTCTACTTTCTCACCAAAAAAAGAAAAAGAAAAAACACTACATATAGCTTTAGGAAACTGCTCTTATAAAAATTTCTGGTTATGCTCCCTAAAGAATTTTTTTTTCTCTCTCTCTCTCCCCCTATACATATGTGTGTGTGTGTTTGCATATGCATGCATATATATGTATGCATATATGGGTTTGCATATGTGTATACATATGTACACATATATGTCCATATGGATGTCTGTGTATGCACATGTGTATATGTATGAGAAGGACACAAAAAAACCAGAATCTATTTATAAAAAATTTAGAATATATTCTCACAGGTTTCAACTTCAGTCACCTTCAAAGTACTCTCCATTTGATGCAATACACCTATTGAGAAGCTTTTTCCATTGTTCAAAACAGTTCTTTAACTTGTTAATTTTGATGCTTTTTAGTGCGTCTGTCATTTTTTGTTTCACCTCTTCCACATTGGTAGAACGTTTCCCTCTGAGGACTTTTTTCTCCAAGGAAACAAACAAAAAAAAGTCACTCGGAGCGAGAAGGAAACAAATAAAAAAGTCACTCGGAATGTGATCAGGTGAATAAGGAGGGTGGAGCACAAGGCTCATGCTGTTTTTGGTTAAAAACTGCTGAACACTCAGTGTGGTGTGGGCAGGTGTGCTCATGAATCACTCATCATGAAACGGGCAGATGCATTGAAAGAATCTCAAAAAAAATTTTCACTGAAGCCAACTGTAGCCTCTCACAACAATGCTAGCTGGTACACTGATGCTGATGAGTTCCTAGAACACTTACCTAGTGGGAGAAGCCTGTACTGCAAGGGACTTGCCTTCCAAAAACTAGTTCCAATTTTGGGGGGAGTCCTCTGTCATATGTTTGTGCATATATATGTGTGCCTGGATGGCAAATGTTTATGTTATAATGTTCAATGAAAAAGGCAGAAGGGGGCAGCCCCCTCGGGTTCCCTCCCACTCTGGGAGTTTTTCTGCCCTCTCAATAAACTCTGCTTTCTCAAAAAAAAAAAAAGAAAGAAAAATGAAAAAGGTAGAAGTAATTATATGAACATAACTTATGGGTTAGGGCTGAAAGGAAACAGACACACATTCACTTATTACAAATACAAAAATAATATAATAATAGACATTTACCTTATCTAACTTCATTCCTTCATCTGTGTATCATTTTCTAATGACCTTCTAATGCAACAACACTGGATGGCTTAGTTACCTCCACAATTGTGTACGTAGCTCTAGTAATTCTTAATATTGCATCACTGCTATTAAGCCTCCTTCTCCTTAACTAGACTATAAGCTGAAGGTCAAGGACAGTTTCATATCCTCTTATGCCCCCCACTGTGGTAGCTGGCACAGAGCAAGTGCTTCACAAATGTTCCTTGAATTAATGAAATATTAGGATGGATGGATGATGGATGGATGGATGGATGGATGGATGGATGGATGGATGGATGGATGTTGACTGGTCCAGTTCTCTAAGAGGCCTTATAGCAGAGATGGCCTCAGTTCCTTTCGTGGACCAAAGTGTTTGGGATCCAGAAGCCATGGTCTCAAACAAGGGAAGAAGTTATGGGGCATATGGAGATAAATGTTGGCCCACTATCTCCATGTTGAAGTAGCAAGGGAAAGCTCCCTCGTCCCCTCACATAAATGCCTTCTTACTTCCCTTCTTCTAGGTATCAGTCTAAAGCCCTCAGTGCTTAATACTGAAGGCCTTTGGGGAGGAGCAGAGCATACAACAATGAAAACAGAATTATAGTATAGAAAACAACCAGTGAAGGCTGTAGAATTCTGTCATCCACCTCTGGGCAGAAGCAAAATACTGCCGATGGAAATGCTTAGGTGTTCAATGAAGACTGAATTATTTGCGAAGTGAAAGTGGTTTTGTGTCCCTCTTCCTAAAAAATGGTAAGAATTCCACCAAACCTTTTATAGAATTTGATACCAAAGGCCCAAAAAGTAGTTTAATGCCCAAAATTATTTCCACAAACGCAGTTCAGAGGCCCAGCAAGGAAGAAAATAGTCCTGATCTCACTGTTTCCCACTCCCGCCATCATGGGAAGTTCAACAGGAGAAGGTCTCAAACACAATATTTCATTCAAATTGCTCTGCCATACTCTGGAGCAACCATATGAGAGATATCTGGATGAAGGAGTTGCAAGAGACAAAGAAAGAAGGACTATAAATGAATTAGTGGTTCAGTAAATCTGTCAAAAGAACCACTCAATAAAATGACATGGAATTCTGTTCTTTGTATAGAAAGGAAAACATCATAGCAAGAATAGATAGGCTCATCTTTGTCTGCTGGAATTTTTTTTTATTAAACTCTTCATAAATGAATGGAAAGTTCCAACTAAAACGTAAGCCTTCACTGCAGGAATGTTTGCACAGTAGATAAAAAAGGAATGAAGCAATACATTGAGAACAGGACATTATGCATTTGGAAGCTGCAGTGCTCACAGGAATTCAGGGCTCAGAACCAGGCCCTCCAATGACTGCAGTAGTCCTGTGTACTTGAAATAGCCTCAGCCCTGCTCGTGCTGCTGTAGAACTCTTTTCTCCCTGCACACAATTCCTAAGATGCCTTCCGATGTGGGCTCCTATCATCCTTGCAACCTGAAGAGCTGATAAGGAAAATAAGCACCAACAGTTAGCAGCTACCTTGCAAGGAAAGGCAGCCTTTGGCTCAGGCTCCATTCTCCCTGCTTTCCTCTCTCCCAGAATGAAATTAGGTTCTCTGCAAACTCATGAGTTAATAGGCTGGAAATATCTGGCAGCCACAGCAGTTACACAGGGCCAACCCAGGCCCCCCAGGAAATGAGTTCACCATCTTCACTTCCTCCAAGTTCACATCTGCGGGAGGCCACAGACTGGGAGCAAACACTGGGGCAGGAAGAGGAGGCCGGCTAGATAGCTCCCCCTAGTGGGATATTGGCTCAATACCCCAAACTACACCTCTTCACCAGGATATTTAATGACTCCAAAAGAAGGGTGTCCACGGACTTTCATGGGACTCTACAAATATCTTGAAAGAAAATACTCACCTCACATGATCTCTGGGACCTTAGCTTCTTCCTCAGTAAATTCAGGGAGTGGAAGAGTGAAGCCCTCTTTGCTTTTCAACCAGAAAGTTGTTTGTTCTCCTTTGCCCTGTGGAAAGGAAAGGAATGCCTTGGGGAATCACTGGGGATTGGGAAGATTGCTTGTGAAGCATGGCCTCTGACAGATGTGTCAGGTTTGCTTTGCTTGCTAGGACAGCAAGAGTTGCCTCCATGAGGAAAAGGCCTCCTTACAGCCAAATCTTGATGACTTTCCTGAGCTTTGCTGATAAGCCTGGATAGACAGCAATGGCCCAGGAAGTAAGGGCTTGTGGAGACTAAAGCTTGTTGCAAAGACAGTATTTTCTTTTTTTTTTTTTTTTTGAGTTGGAGTCTCACTCGGTCACCCAGACTGGAGTGAAGTGGCCTCTCCCGGCCACCACAGCCTTGCCTGCTGGGCTCCGGCGATCCTTCCGTCTCAGCCTTCCGAGTAGCCAGAATTACAGGCATGCGCTACCACGCCCGGCTGATTTTTTGATTTATTGTAGAGATGAGGTCTCCCTGCCCAGGCGGGTCTCGAACCTGCGGGCTCAGGCAATCCACTCACCTCAGCCTCCCAAAGGCGCGGGATTACAGGCTGAGCCACCGAGCCCAGCTTAAAGACAGTATTTTCAAAACAATGGTAAAATCTACTGAAGTCTTGGTATGAGATGGGAACCAGGTAAAGCACCTCACATACATCCACATTTATTCTTCACATCCACCCTTCAAGGGCAGTATTATACCATTCCCATTTTGCAAATGACAAAGCTAAGTCCCCAAATTAGACAGCTAGTAAGTAGCAGGATAGGACTTCAAGCTAGGTCTACACTGCCGCCTTCTGGAAAAGTCTTCCTCTTACCTGAAATCAGTTGACTGAATAGAGTATGCCAGGGCCGGTTTCTGTAAACTGGGGAGTTTATGCCATTCCCTTCCTTTCACCTCTTTTTCTGGACCCCCACCCAAACACCCATTGCCATAGTAACCATAGACCACACCCACTGCAAACATCTTCATCATTCCTGAGAACATCTCAGGAAGAATATTTGCTCCCCACTCCCCGCCCCAGAAAAGGACAATCCAAAGGGAAAGATGAGGATGTATCATGGCACAATTCAGTGACAGACTGAGGCCAGGATGAAGAAAAAGGGAAGGGAGTTTTTAACATATAGAGATGAGGTCCTAGTACCTCCAAGGCCAAACCAATGGACTTTGTCTTTTCTGCCGGGGTGCTTTAGACTCAGGCGAAGGGACATGGAGGACAAGGGGGCATTATAATTCCTGGTCTTGTATTTGCTGCTGCTTTGTGTGAGATGCAAGATATTCAAGAGGAAACCAGGGGGTCATTTGTACAGAAAGAAAGAAGGTATCCCAAAGGGGTTGGTCTAGGTGGGAGCTAAGGTATTCCCTGTCAGAGTTCATGTTTGACCATTTGTCGGAACTGCATGGTCCTCTCTGAAGGAGGAAGACTTGGCAGTCATAAGAGCCTCCAGAGAGATCTTAGAGGTCTCCATGCATCACTCATGGAGACTCATTCATCTCTCCAAGTTCCCTGATATTTCTTTCAGAAATCAAAATGGGGCAGATGTGGCACAGTTGGCTTGGTCTTACCTTGACTGGAATGGTGCCTCTCTTCTGCAAATCATACCCGCCCAACGCCAGCAGGACTCCTGCAGTGCTCTGAGAGACCTGGATCCAGAGAGCTGCCATAAACCAGTCATTGCCTTGTTATCAAGTTGGCAGTGAAGTGTCAGTGGAGTGGGGGCTGCTTCAGAAAGGGAACCTACACTGCTCAAATTCTCTAATCACCAGGACTTCTCATTAAGCAAATCCCAGACGACCTCTCTGAAATCTGGGACACTTAGGCTGGAACCCCCAACCATCGTGGCATTGCTCAGACACTGCTGAGTGCTACTCAAACCTTAGGATGTTCAGTCTAGACACAGAAGGCAAAACCGATTCAGTATGCAATTTGGTGATCCCCATGGACAAGAGGTTCATCGGGCTCCTCAGGCTAGGACATTTTACTGAAATGTTGTCTGAAACCAGAAACTAGAATCAGGCTTAGAGCCTACATAAGCCATTCCAACTTCAAGTTTTATTCTGAAAACTTTTACTTACAAACCAAGGGAGAAGTTAAAAATCTGTGTTTGAGACTTGGTTAACTTAGGCAATGAAGTCATCAGAGGGGAAAATGGTGTGTGCGCTTTTATACGCTATGGGGAATTTACAGATTCAAAATAACATTAACCTAAACTCATTGCAACTTAAATCACAGAGTAATTCTTTTTTACATGTCTTGACTGATAAGTAGTATACATTTATCTACCAATGGTCAATGCAATAAAATTACCATAAAGAAAAGAATGTAGCCGGGCTCGGTGGCTCAGCCTGTAATCCCGTGCCTTTGGGAGACTGAGGTGAGTGGATTGCCTGAGCCCATGGGTTCGAGACCTACCTGGGCTCATCTCTACAATAAATCAAAAAATCAGCCGGGTGTGGTAGCGTATGCCTGTAATTCCGGCTACTTGGAAGGCTGAGGCGGAAGGATCACCGGAGCCCAGCAGGTTGAGGCTGCGGTGGCCGGGAGCGGCCACTGCACTCCAGTCTGGGCAACAGAGTGAGACTCCAACTCAAAAAAAAAAAAGAAAAAAGAAAAGAATGTGATGTTCCCTGGAGTTTCTGGCCATAGATTTCTTCTGTACCACCAAAAACATACTCTGCATCAGAAATGAGCAAATTAATACCACGCATGGACCAAATCCGGCCCACTACTTTTGTTTGCAAAGAAAGCTTTATTGGAACATGGCCACTCCCATTCATTTACATATCGTCTATGGGGACTTTTGTCTGACCCTGTACAGAAAAAGTTTTCAGACCCCGGCTTTTCATTTAAATGGTTTTATTGCATGTGTGTGTGACTGTCTAGAATGGAAAGTCTTGGAAAAAGTAGGCCATGTATATTTACATAGCTCCAATGAGAGAAGAGTGCAAAACCCTGTCTACAAAATTTGCGATCAGTATTGCCAGAAGTGGATAACGACCTCATCCTCCAGATGGAAAACAGTAGACGAAATGCAAATGAGTCTTCTAAAAATACCCCCTGGTTAATGGTAGGGCACTAGAGGGACGGTGATATTGTGATTACAAAGTGCTGGCAATGATACCCACGCAAACTGCTGCTTTCCATTCTTGATGCCATGTTCACAGTGTCTCCAAACAGACAGTATCTGGGCATGGTGGCTCCCACCACACCAGCCACCACAGGACCTAAGAAATGAAGAACCAAAGGACATAACTAGTCTGTATTTCCCAAGGCTGGACTTCACGATGTCTATCAAGCTAGCAAATGCAATTCGACAAATGTCTATTAAACGACTACCCTCTTGGGGTAAATCTTGACTATAGGTCTTAGGGTTTATGAAGAGACAACCTGCAGAACGCTCAAGTTTCTGGTGGAAAGCAACATCATCAGTGAATGGCCACATTCTTCATGAACCAGAATCGTCAACAAAGCCAACAGCCGCACCAACATGGGAGACATTAATTCTGACTGGGGATCAGGTTTTATTTTAGTTAAGTCGTGAAGGATAGATAGGAGCATGACCAGCTACATAATTTGAGAGAACAGGTACAAAATGAAAATATAGGACCTTTTGTTCAGAGAGCATTACGAATTCCAAGACAGTGACAGAAAAGCATTAAACCAAGTGTGGGCCACTTCTACACAGGTTACAAGCCCATGAGTTAACAAACACATCAAAGGGCATTTGATGCAGAGGCGTGAAAGAAAGCCAGCCCCATATAATATTCTTGGTTTTTGGTCTTCTCCCTATTTTTGGTTTAACACCTTGGAGTCTTGCATGTCCTTGTTGTTACCATGCAACCCAGTTAACTGAAAATATGCATGCAGAGACCATTTAATCTTCTGATGTTACCATTCAATGTCTGGGTTCCTGAAAGCCTTAGACGTAGGAGTCGAACCCAGAACTACCTGCTGCCATAGCTGAACCACAAGTCCACCTGCCCATCAGCTCTGTTTACCTGTGTGGAGGCCAGTCCAGAGCTTGAGCTTCTCCTCAGGCATGTGCCCAATCTGGAAGTGGACAGTGGCACTGAGGAAGTACAGGGACATGGTGGCAATCTCGTCCACATGCTGGTTTCCATTGTGGATGGGAAATCCACTAGCCACCATGTATGCATCTCCAGTGGTTTCAGACTGAAAATAAAGCAACAAAGTGACCTTCGTTTTCCAGGAGGGAAGCTGAGCGTGGGGGTGGGATCAGAGACTAAGGCCTTTCGTTGGTCCCCAGCCTTGAGGCCCCATGCTTTGAAACATCACACTCCCTGACTTCCATCTCATGCACATCCCAGCATTTCTTCAAGTTCTTGCCCTTGTACTCAGTCTACCGCAAAACTCTCCCTCCATGAGCCCTCCTCCCCACCGTCACTGCTTCCTACTCCAAAATCCCATAGCGGCAGTGATTCTGTTTCCCCAGCCCAAGTTCAGAACCAGTTCGACAGGCAGCTGTGTACTGATGGGGTAAGTCTTTCAAAACTCATCTCACACAAGGGCCCTTCCATACATTTATACATATGTATGCAGTAAACATTATACAAATGTATTCCTGCATACATATACATAAATATATGTAAATCTGCCTGCTCTGTCCTCTTCTCCCCCGATCCTGCTAATAAAATCAACTTTCAGATCTGTCATTCACAATAGAGAAATAAGTGACAAGTAGAAACTTAAAGTTTCAGCCCTTTCTAGATACATTTGCATTCTAGCAGAATCCAAAGATGATGTGGAAAGGTAGGATTTCAGGCATTAGCCAGGCAGTAAAACTCCTCTGTCCTGGTGACCCCAAAATTATATTAAGTCAACGAGTCGACAAATCTAACCTGCTCCTGGGTTACCCTCCTCACCATGAGACCATCCTTTAGTAATATAACCTAGTTTTAGTATTAGTTGAAGTAAAACATAACAGAGAAGGTAACTCTACGAAAAAATTCCGAAGGAGACCCTCCAGGTTCTGGTTTGTTGGCTGTATGTGATCTCTTTTTTTTTTTTTTTTT